AGTAAATCATTCAATTCACAATTGATATGACACATGTAGGTGATGGACTTAACCTTTATGGTTAATCCATACCTGAATCCAAATTGGGTCGGACTTAGTGTTTTGAACTAATCCATTCCCAATATAGGTAGGTCTTAGTGTTTTGAACTAAGCCATCCCTAATATGACACCGTCCCATACCGGTTCATATACATCCATATAAGTGGGACTTAACCTTTTTATGGTTAATCCAACTCATTCTAAATTAGGTAGGACTTAATGCTTGAACTAATCCTTACCTAGTATGTCACCGTCCCATACTGGTACATACAATCCTCCAGTTAACATAGTTGATAAATCAATATTTAAATAACCATCAACCATTATCCATAATATGCACAAGACAAGTTAATTCATGTACATAAATATTAGACATTTAATGCAGAGCCCAAAATCCAACTCCAATAATGTAAATTGATACATAATTTGCACACATTTCCAACATAATCCCTGAATTGATACAATTTAGTACCATTTAAGTATCAAATAAATCCAAATTAAGCATAAGGAAAATTAGTTAATTCCCAATACTTCAAATACTACAGAAATATGATTTATATGTATATTTAAATCATACATAACAACCTTGCCAAGCTCCGGTATATAAACCTACCAAATCCTCCAATATAATCCACGAATTGATACAGTTAATAGAAATTTGAGTATCAATTAAACCCAACCTAAGTATAGTTGATTTCTAATTAATTCACCATACTTAACACTGTGGAAAAATATAATTTTACCCAATTAAATCATCCATACGACTTGTTAAGTTCCAGTGGATACAACAGTGTACACTACACTAAGTTTCCCTTAGACTTTGTATTTCTCCCTCAATTAATCCCAGTTTAAATTAATGTTCCTAAAGACTAAGTTTAGGTTTAAAATAGTTCCATACAGTGTTTAAAATAATTTAAACGAAGTCCTAATACACTGCACAATCAAAACCACGCACAAAATCACACAGTATTGCAATTTCTGGGCAAGAGCAGGCTCCAAAATTTGAGAGCCTGCTCTATTTAAAGGGAGACTCGGCTCTAGGCTCCAAGAGCCGGCTCTAGGGCTGCAAGAGCCGGCTCCCCCATCCTTGGGAGCCGGCTCTAAGAGTAGGAGGAGCTTGCTCTTCCTCTCTTAGATGCCGTCGTCTGTTTTTGCGTCTTCTTCTCCAACTCTGGTGATTACAGAGCCTCTGTGGTATGTTCTAATAGGTTCAATATTAGTCCTAAACAAGTTTAAACCACTGAGATCCAACCCTAACATGTGTAGGAAAACAAGTTCTAAAGCAACAACTACAACACTTCTGTTAACCAATTTTAAGCAAGCTGCGACAGATTTAGTTCAGATTAATTTGATGCAATTAAATACTGTTCTAAAATCTTGTTCTAGGGATTAAACTCATTCTCAGAATAATTGTAAGGCATCCAATCATATTACTAATCTCAATAAAACAGGCTTAAACGTAAAAGACACAGATAGCAGAAAATTAACCAGTATGCAAAACAGTTAACTCACTGAGATCAAATAAATTCATATATGCATGGAAAACATGTTATTATGTTTGTGTCAATCCGTTTTATCTTTTGTTAAAACCCTGAAGTCTAACTAGGCATGCACAGAACACGAATTAAGGGGAAAGAATAGAACAAGACTTGCCTTTGAAACCCAAAAACACCTTTCCTTTCTCCTTCTTGGTCCAAACTTAATCCAGAACAAAACCTAGACCTCCTCTCTTTATCTTCCTCTGTGTCTCTCAATATCTCACTGTATCTTTATTCTACAGAAAACCTACGTTTTGTTTTAAACCCTAATCCACTGTAATATACATATATATAGGTTTAGACATTAAACCCTAATCCATATATAACCCGGCCCATATGTAAACCTAGGTTACAAATCAATGACGGCTGCCTGTGAAAATTATAAACCCAATGAAAAGCTATATAACAGTCACGTTGAGAACAAACTAAATCAACTATCACAAAATTAATCCAATTAAAATAATTAAATAAAACAATTAACTCAATCAAATTATTCAAGTAAATAATTAAAACAAATTTAAGTAAATCATTTATTTAAAAATAAATACACACTTAATCAATTAAACAAACCAAAACACATAACTCACATATTAAAAATGCAATAAAACTCAAAATTATCAAAATTAAATTTCCATTCTATCCTTTTGGAAACTAGGGGTATTACACAAAGCTAGACAAGCAAGCTTGGGAATAAGGGGCAACTGATAGGGAAAAATAAACCTAACCTACCTTGACCTAACGATAGAGGCAACTAAGTGGTGACCAACCGCCAGATCTCATATTTCCATGGGATAAGAATGATTAGATTTCATTATCAAGGATAATGAAATCTGATGTGGTTTAACAGGGTAAGGATAACCCTGACACAATTGGAGGAAGTCCAAATGGTTAAATTATATTCCTGACAAATCTAGCAGCAAACGGATCTCCTTTGATCACGCACAAGCGGATCTCCTCTGATCCCGCAAATGAACTGAGGGAGAGCGACTATAAGAATGAGATCCTACCAGTCAATAAAAGTACGACAAAAAAACTATTATTAAATCCTGTCTTTCTTTTAGATCTCCAGTGACTGACTTGATCATCAGAGAACTCTTGACAGGCACCACACTGGTGCCGTCAAAATTCATCGATCTTTTATTCTCTTCTTTGTAGAAAAACGGTGTCGTATCAGACTGCGTGAATTTCACCCTCAATATCCTCCATATTAGATAGAGCTTGCCACACATTGTTGCCCTTATTCTGCGTATTCGTGTCTTTCCTTTTGGGAATCTAACTTCATCTTGATCGATATGGTGGTCAGCCGAGGCCCATTCGTACTTGATACAAATTGTTGGCTTCATTTCTCAACAAATTTAAGTTTATCGGACAAGTGATTACAATTTTGAAATTCTGTCGCTCATGACCCGCAGGATGTCTAAGTATAAAAATATTTAATTAAATCACCCTCTCTAAGAAATCTAAAGTTTTGAAGGTGTAAAATACTATTCAGATTTAAAGGTCAGCCAAAATGACGGGCCAAAGTTCATTGCATCCTTTGAAATTTGAATGCAACGAAGTTGGGACCAAATTAATGGATCTGATTTCATGTTCTGCCGGAAATTCTGAACTGTGTACACAAGCAAGGACTTACATTTATATGGGGGCGGGGCGGAGTTGCTCGCGTGAATTTTTCATCCGTCAAGTTACATTCACTCCAAATATTCTGTACAAATTATTTGTTCAAATGTGACTTATCAAAAATATATATATATATATATTTATATATATATATATTTGTTCAAATGTGACTGGCAGAGTGGACCTCCCTTTCATACCATGTTTTCGTATTTTATCCGAACAATATTCGAAAACCTTATCTTGGAAGAATGCCAATTATCCAAAAATTTGCTGGAATTTCACAAATAGTTCTCCTAGGTTTAACCCTTAAGACAAATATAAGGGACACACATGATATAAAGTAGAAGCAATGTAAAATATTTTCAATATTTGTTTCTTCAATATCCTATCAAAGGGTATACATTGTATGGGACTTGGTTATGCTATATAACCAAGTTTTTTTTTTTTTTTTCTTCTGTAAATTAAAAAATTAATTTCTTAGTAAATATTATATAACCAAGTTGGTTATATAAAACGAATAAAGAGATCGTAACAAAACTTTGGTTATATGTGCAACTAATTAGCTTGCTAGCTAGTTAATTCCATCTCCTCTTGAGGAAGCCTCTGCAAATCTTTCCCCAACACTTTCTATCTGGTTCGGCTATCTGCAATTTTACCTTGGCCTCTTCAGCAAAAGTTTTCTGAAAGTAATAATCAAATAACCAAAATGAGCTCAAGAGAAAGGGAAATGAAGTTACAAATGAAAAAACAAAAGAAAAGAATGGAGTGAGAGATAAATAAAACAAACTTAGTACCTCTATAGATTTGTTTGTGAGAAGACGATCGATGAGATTGTTAAGAATGTCTTTGGTATACTCTGGATGACCTTGGATTCCTAGAATGTGGTTTCCAATGGCGTACATCTCCACTCCCGTTTTATCTGAATATGCAATCACTTCAGCACCCACCGGAACCTCCCATACCTCATCTTGGTGGCATTCAATTATTGAAAGGGCTGCTGGGATTTCATCCGACCCTTCTAGGAAACTGCATGGCGAGAAATCTTTCACAATTTTCACTTTTCTTAGCCCAATATCCCAACCAGTGTTTGCCTTCCCAACTTTTCCACCCATTGATCTGCACAAAACCTATATATATATATATATATATATAACCATAGATTAGTTTCTTTTTCAATGAATCAAATATATATTTGTAAACATAATATGAATTATATATACAATGTGAAAAGTAGTGGTATTCGAATTACCTGGTGTCCAAAGCAAATACCGAGGACTTTCTTATGCATGGAGTCTAAGGTTTGCAAGAGAAAGCAAAGCTTGAGAATCCAATGGTCATTGCCATAAGCATCATAAGGGCTACCACTGACCACGAAGCCATCATAGTTTTGGAGCTCATTCATGTCCGGAAACTCTCCTTCAACAACCCTAAACAAGTCCCACATCTCTCCTTCTTCCCCAAAAGCTGCAACAAACACATTGAAGTAGCCACCATATATACACTTCCTTCACATAGAATCCTTTGCTGCTAATAGCAAAGCATATCTTTTCTGTACTTCAACCTTCATGATCTTAATATATAGTTAATCGAGCGAGAGATTTAGCGTGTGAAACTAAAATTACTAGAGATATATATAGGTAAATAGAGTGAGAGAAAGAGAAGAGATGATATGATCAAGTATGAAATGTTTTGAGGAGCAATGGTCCTTTTATAGGCATATATAGCACACCCAGAATGTCTTGTGTTGTATACGGAAATATTCCATGCAGGTGGTGTGTCAACTTTGCACGTATTACAAGAAAAATGGTTATTAGTGACAGACCTTTAGGGACAGTTTGTACTGTCTCTAAAGACCCTATTTTTAGGGACGGACTTTAATTATTGTCACTAAAGACACTTTTTGGTGACAGTCCAACCCGTCCGTCCCTAAAAGACCAAAAAAATAAAATAAAAAAAAAACCCTCCAATCTGGTGGCTGCAAAACTTAGCGCCATTTTTAGTGAAATTATAATTTTTTTTTAATAAAAAAATTATCAAAATAGCCTTTTGAGACAGTCCTTTAGTGACAGTCCAAAACCCTGTCCCTAAAGACCCTCCTTTTGGTGACGGTACACGTAGACGCTCGCACCAAATTTTTTTGGGCGAAAGTTTAGCGCCCTTCCTTCGACGATATGCGTGTCAAAATATTTATATATTTTGTTACTTTTTGGGAAAAGAAATATTAATGGTCAGACGTTGTCGTTTTGGCTTATTTGTATACTTTTACCCAATTCCCAATCTCAGTCTTCTCTCTAGAACATCCCACAGATGCCTCTCTCTAGGTACAATCACTCTGTACTCCACCGAAGGCCTCTCTCTCTACCAGCACTCTTCTAGTACGTCTTCACACATAGTCCGCAGGACGCCTCCCTTTCTCTCTATAATCACTCTTTCCTCAAGCTCAACAGATCGTCCGGGTTTGTGTCCTTCTTCACTTTCTGATCGAGTTTTTATTATTATTTTTTATTTTTTTATTTCTTTTTGTTCACACACAGAGAAATTTTTTTCTTTTTGTTTCTCTTTTTTTATAGTTTGATCATATGCATCAGATCTGTTCTCTTCTAGGGTAAACTTTGGCGGATGAAGCTTGGGAGAAAATACAATTAAAGTTGCTCTCAGTTTCTTTCATATTCCATTTTGGTAATCAAAATTTTCCGTAGTTTTTTTTTTTTTTTTTGTACTTCGCTTAATATTATTTTTATATTCTTTAGGTTTTTGTTATTTTGTTTATTTTAGAGTAATTTGAATAAAAGAAAATGTCAGGTTTGGTCAACAAGTTTATCTTTGCTATTATTTCAAGATTAATTAATTAATTAATATCACATCATCGTTCTTGAACTAAAGGTTGGGAAGTTAATAGCTTGAGATTTTTTTCATCTAATTCATTTATTGTTATTTCATCACATTTTTTTGTTGATTGTGAAAGGTGAATATATATAATTTAAGGGCTTAGATATATTTTTGAATTTGAAATGTTCAAAGAAGAAATTCAGAGCCATTTGGTATTGGTAACCTTTGAAAAATGAATTAAAAAATTAGGGGTTAAAAAAACAGAGTTAACAAAAGTAAATCAATGTATTATGTAGCTCTTAAATAAATACTAATAGGTCCTATTCCACTGATTTTCACTTGATAATAGAAAAGTAAGATGGTATAAAACAAAGCAGTTTTTAATCTAGCCTTCTATGGGTCAGTTGTCATTTTTCTTTATGGAACGACAAGCTTATAGAAGGAACAACAATTTTCTTGTTAATTTATGGTGGAATAAAATGCCAAACTAGATACATTACATATTACCATCAAGTTTTCCAAACGCTGCCTCTTTATGTGTGTGTGTGCACACATCATATATTTTGATTCTGATACATTCATTTTGTTACATGGTTTACTTGCTTGATTATTTTAATATATTACTTTATGAATCCCCCAATGCCCTCATCTTTTCTTGTTAATTACGCATTTGAGTGCTACTCAATCTTAATTCTCAAATTGTTGTACGTACACTCATTCATATAGTGACCTTACTCGCAACTACCTTAACGGTACTATTCCTCCAGAATAGGGTTCCATACAACTAGTGAACATATATGTATCAACTGCCCCCTCTGTGTGTGTGTGTGTGTGTGTGTGTATATATATATATATGTTATACACAAACACACACATCCATATTGAAACTTCTCTTGTTCTAACAAATATATGACATGATGGTTTTGTTGCAGCTCTCTCCTTGGAAATCGATTAACAGGTTCAATCCCAAAAGAATTTGGAAACATAACCAGACTCAGAAGCTTGTAAGATTTGGATAACCAATTTCTTTCACATTTAGGTACATGTGATATAAAATTATGCTTTTATGATTTTAATTTTGGTGTTTCTAGAGTCTTGGGGACAATCAGCTTTCTGGAGGTATTCCTATTAGAGCTTGGGAATCTTCCCAGCTTGGAGAAAATGTAAGACCCTTTTATCTGTTTTTGATTTTATGGTGTTAGTTTTGTCTGTGTACTTTATGAATGTGTAATTTTATTTTTTAAAAAAAATTGGTAATACGTCTGAGGGTTCAATTTGAAATTTGAGGTCAATTGACCATTGGCTTAATTAATTCTTTGTTCTTGAAGACTCCTAAGCTCAAATTATTTTACTGGGGAGTTGCCGGGAACACTTGCAAATCTGACCACTTTGAAGGACTTGTAAGTGTCTAAAGTTGGTTTATTTTTTGTTTTTCTAAATACTTATTTATTTCCTATTTTTAGAATTAATTGTTCTTTTTTTTTTTTTTTTTTTTTTTTTTTTACACATTGCAGTAGGATTAGCAACAACAACTTTAAAGGAAAGATACCCAATTTCATCCAAAACTGGACAAAACTCCAAAACTTGTAAGATTTTTACTTTACTTGTTTTGATATTTCAATTTTTCTTTGGAAGATGTTATCTGTTTAACCATTCATTTAAACAAAATTATGACAGGATGATTCAGGCTAATGGTTTGGATGGGCCAATTCCTTCTGGAATTTCTCTCTTGGAAAATTTGTCTGACTTGTAAGTAAATTCTTATAATCTCATAGCTTTACCCTTTTATATAAGAAAATATCTAATTTATGTTTATTCTTTGATAAATAAAAACAAATGCAGGAGATTCAGTGACTTGAGTGGAAGTGAAACAGCTTTTCCTCCTCTTAGTAATATGAAAAACCTGAAGACACTGTACGTAGAAAACTTCTATATTCTCTTATGGAATATATTAATATCTTAATGTGTTTTGGAATGATATATATTTAAATATATTTGATTGTATCGCAGGATATTAAGGAGTTGCAATATTATGGGACAGATACCTGATTATCTTGGAACAATGACAAATTTGAAAACCTTGTTAGTTCTTTTCCATTCTCCATTTTCATGTCTCTCATTTTCTTAAAAAGCGTTTTGATCACATACTTATCTCTTGTTTGTAGTAGAATTTAAATATATATTCTCTATATTTTTGTTGTCTTCCTTGTGTTATTGAATATATAGGCACCTTTAAAACAATTGAGTGATGTTATATAGTATTATTAAATGAAATGTTTCCTATTATATATGTGCTTTAGTTTGATGAACTTTTGGCACAATAAAAAATAATATGGCAAGTGGACTTGTGTATTTATTAAATAAGTTTAAGTTTATACTCAACTATCATTATTCTTTAATTTTACATATGTAAGCAAAACTCTTAGTACTTCTTTCCAGAAAAAGAATTGTTTGTACTTTCGTCTACTTGACAATTGCTTCAACATTAGACAATACAAAGTTATCTTGGAGCCTTCATTTATATTTTTCTTTGCTGGTCCCTTCGGTTCTTAATGTTTAAGTTCTGTTTATATTTCACTTAAATTTGATCTTGTTCCATGTTTTTTTAAAAAAAAATTTTGATCAAAATTTATTGCTTTGATGAGTCACATTATTGGCAATTTTTGGAGTACCAGCACTTCTACAATTTAGCTTGTGAAATTTTTTATATGATCCAGATGTTTGATTCATCTTTATGTGTATCTTATCTTTCTTCTCAATGAGACCAGATTTATATAGCATCATTCTCCATTGGAATGGTAGTAGTTCCTCATTTTTAAGTACTTCTCATTAGAATGGTAGCAGTTCCTCATTTTTAAGTAATTCTTTGTACCCTTTGACTATGGATCTAACAATATCCACTTTCTCTCTCTACACAACTATTCAATTTGTAATGAGACTATATTGGTCTTTGCTCGTTAAGCACCAAAGCACAAGGACAAGGACAGATGTTTTTATTCCTCAAGTGAATGAGATTGCTTATTGAAAGAGACAAAGTGGATTTTGAGGCAAGATCCCTATGTTTGCATATGTTTCTTCTCTCTCCCTTTCTCTCACTCTCTCTATATGTATATTTAGATCTATATTGTGTTGTTTCTTGAATTTTTCTACTGGTTAATTCTTATACACAACTATTCAATTTGATTTGGTTTTTAAAAAATAATTGGAGGCAACAATCCTACATTTAAAGAGAAATTCGCGTTTACTCTGATTTGAGGGCTTGGAGAGTTGAATATTGTGATCTGGAATAGCAATATTATGTCTCTGGGGTTTTGCTACTTCTAGGGTCCAATCACAAAATGTCCTTTTTCAAGGCTACGATGACAACCTTTACCACTTCAGACTGACAGATATATGTTCTTGACTAAAGATCATTACTTCATGATTAACTCAGGTCTGGTGAATTTTGATTACTTCTGTCAAATTCATAAGATCTTAAATTAAATGAATGATGAGGTTGTGTTTATTTGTAATTCAATTGGGGGACTTAGTTTCTCTTAATTTGGTTATTTTCCAGTTGTAAAAATGGATTGTTGCAGTTTTTTTCATGGTTCTTGTCTACGCTAGCGAGTCAGTAAGGATCTACCTGTTTAGAAATATACTTATGTATTCTTTAACAATTTTGATGTAAAAGGACATACAGGTTTCATTATTACATTATATATTGGGGATGGTTTGGTCAATTATCTCTGGAAGTTTACAAAATTATCACTTACTGCAATTAGTTGGGGTGGAGGCTTTTTTTTTAGTTAATTTAAGTGTCATTTATTGTATTTCTAATTCATGTTTACAATGTCAATCAGTGAAGTATGAGTCATCATCTAGCAGTGTTCTTGGACCCAATGTTATTTACAACTCCAAGAATCAAGGTGATTCAGGTTCCCTTGGACAGATGCATATGTTGTCTACATCAGTTTTTCTACCTGAGTGACCTGATCAACCTGAATGCCGATATTTCATTAACACTGGGAGATGCAACTATGGATTTGATTGCAAGTATAATCATCTTATGAAGGAAAGCTCAGTTGTTCATCTTTCAGCGGCAGTCAGCACCACTACCACAACCACCTGAATGACCAATATGATTGTCTTCTCTTTAGTCAATTGAATATTAAAGACATTTGAGCATTCTAGCTGAATATTTAGTTAATATTGTGTAATCTTTTTGGTTAATGGATTATTTGAGTTGGTATGTTTTGTTGAATATTTGGCTAATTATATTGTGTTGTAAACATTTTATTATGATAATTAATGGTTTATTTCTGTCTCTCTTATGCTGAATATTTGGATTTCTAATTTGTTATAAAAAAAATTGACAAAAAAAAGGGCAAAAACACAAAATTTAGCATACCAATAACAATAATAATAATAATAATAAATAAATAAATAAATAAAGCATTAGGGACAGTTTCAAACTGTCATAAATATAATAAAAAAAAATTAAAAAAATAAAGCATTAGGGACATTAGGGATGGTAGTATTTGGGACAGTAAGTCCGTCCCTAAAGCTTGAGTTTTTTGGTGATAGTTAATTTTTTCCGTCCCTAAAAATCTTTTGCGACGCTCTAATTAGTGACGGACGGATTTGATCATTAGTGACGGTTTTGGGGCTTTTTGGGACGGTCTTGACTGTCACTAAAACCCTAATTTCTTATAGTAAAGGAATTGACTGTTGAACATTTGTGGCTCAATTTCATGCATTAGCATCACCCATTTACATCACCCATTGTGTCATCATCAACTTGCCAACCAAGGTGAGTGATCAGCAAGTAGGCGTGGGCAGCCAGTTTGGAAAATGTCAGTTGCAGTCCTTTGTATATACTTGATGACCAAGTATTTAGGTGACTTATTTTTGACTATAAATAGCCTTGCTCGACCCGGTGTTGTAGCATTCACAAATCATCAATAGAGTGAGTTATTGGTATCAGTTAGTGGGTGAGAGAGTTTGGGTGTAATTGGGTTTTGGGTGTAAGCCACTTTGCCTTATATGTCTTTATTTCCATAATGAAATATTATTCTGTCTTCTTCCTGTGAACGTAGGCATTGCCGAACTATGCAAATCCTTATCTCGTTTGTGTGTGTGCCATTTTAATTTTCTTGTCATTAATTTTCTCTTTTGTTCTCAAAACTCCTATTCAATCCTTTTTTCATAACATTGACTGTAGCCATCCGATCATAACCAAGTGAAGAATATACCGTATGCATACATACATACATACATATATATATATTTGACAGATGCGTTGTTTGTCTTTAAAGAGTAAAACGGTTCCATTAGCCAGACAAGGCAATGGTTTATAACTGACATTAATGAAACCGTTTGACTATAGATTTAATAATCTAGCTTCTCATGTATATGAAACCTCAAGTACGTTAACAATATTGTGTAATCTTTGACCTTTCAAATATATATATATATATATATATATATGTATATATTTTGTAGTCTTTGGTTTTCATTATTTAAATTCTCATATTCTCAAAATTTATCTTGACTAGCGATGAATACATACAAGAGACTTTAATTGAATATTTTCTACGCGCCGCCCTGTGAGAGTGATTCTTTATTCGAAGTGAGAGGGCGAGAAATCAACCTGGACTCAATCAAAAGATGGACTATATAATTGTAAACTTGGGTTTTCGTTTGGGTTTGGGCTGGTAACTTGAATTTAGTCCAAGTTGGACAAATTCAATGTTAACCCAGATTTATGATATTTTTTTTGTTTGTCGTGGAAGTATTATTTTGAAAAACAAAAACTGAGGACTAAACCTGTATAAAAGGCCCAATCAAGCCCATATTCCTTGCCAGCATCGTTTTTATTCCTAGACATGACCACGTAACACAAGTTCTCCATTATGTTGTTGGAAGCCCAACATGACCTTATCATTGGCCAAAACAATATGGTTGTTTTCTTGTTTCCCAACCCAATTTGACCAAATGCCCCAAACCATACAACTAATCTACCTCTCACCCTAAAAGGTAAAGTCTTTTCTTTTCTTTTTCTTTTTCTTTTTTTGAATAATTATTTAGTTTTACATTCAAATCTCTCTATTTGTATTTGTCCTCCACAACAACGAATAAGTGTACAATACCTCTAGGGTACTTGACATGTGGTACATGAGAGATTGACATATATTGTTGCGATTATTCCTTGTATTTTTATGTATTCACCCTTCATCTAAAATTAAACTTGATATAAAATGTCGAATCTCATTGTTGGGCCAATTTGTACATGATATACCTACGTTAGATTATTTCTCAACAATTTTTAGGGCTTAGTTGATTTGTCACTTAAAAAATAATTGCCAAAAATTCAGAAAACTATAAAAGACAATTCTCTAAACATTAACCTTTTAAAAATGAGTTTTTAGGAAACAATTTATGGGACAATTGATCACAATTTTTCAATTGTGTCACTCATGGCCGACATGTCTAAGCATAAAAATATTTAAATCATACTCTCAATATTAAGTTTGGTTAGATGAAAATAGTAGGGAAGGAAAAGAAATGAAAATTTAAAATTTTTTTTTTCGAAGTTTGGATCGTAGGAAAATGAAAATTTGATGCGTCCTAAGTTTCCCACAAAAATTTTTAATTAAAAAAAAAAAAAAAACGAAAAATTGGCTTTCTTGAGAGAAATATCTAAAATTTCATTTATATCACTTTTCACTTTTTAAAATAAAATGTGTTTGTGTTTATGCATAACTTTTTTTATAAATAGTTACTTATAAGAATAGTATAAATAGTTATCTCCTACAAAATTTTTAGATGTCCTACAAAATTTTTTACTTAGATTCTTATATTGCTTTTATGTTTTTTTACAAAGAATAAAAAATATATATTAAATATAAATTTATTTATACCTACTGTCATATTTAATAAAAAAAAATATGTACAATTTAGTCAAATCATAATATTTTATAATATTTATTTTCATACCAACCAAACGATGAGATGACATTTTCTCACAATGTTTTTGAATTTTTTTTCATGCTAATTGGAATCCTCAAAGATTTATTTTTCATTCCTTCACTTTGCTTTCCTTCCTTTTTATTTTTCCGTATTAATTTCTACCAAACTAAACGTACCCTCAAGATAGGGGGAAAAAAAAAAAAAAATCTTTAAGAAATTTAGGTGAACCATGTTATAGAGACCACATTCACTTCAGTATTGTTCACTGGTTCGCATGACATTGAAATGTTGTTACATTGACCTTTCTAATTCTATTTCTTGGGCATTTTCCAGTATGCAATTTTTCTCTAAAAAGTCAGTCTTCTTCTTTTGCTCTTATTGACCAAATTAATCAGATTAATTATGACATAAGCAGTGTGGTATATCAATGACTAATTCATGTGGGCCCCTTGAATTTTGCTATATCTCATCAAATGGAAAGAATAATAACGCCATTGAAAAACTGCATCCAAATTTTAAGTCAATACACCGTAAATAATACAGTAAAGGAAAGATAAAAAATGTGAGATACAAGTCTGCTACATTTGACATACATAAAAGCGCATATTTTTTTTGTATGATGAAAAGTAAATGGCAAAACAATATACATGGAGGTCACAATAATTTGTTGTAACTTAGAAATTGAACAGTGGGAGCCTTTTTCTTACGGCTGGACTTTTCGGCATGCTCTGTTTGGTTGGAGTCTTGGAAAGAAAAAAAAGCGGATGGAAGGAATCGAGGGAGTTTGATAGGCAATTTTTAAAGAAGGGAACATGTTTGTCTCTTGTTTGATTGAATGGAAAGATAAATATTGTGACACATTTTGTTATTTATATAGAAAGTAATTAATGAGAGTGCATGTTGATATATTTTTTTTTATCAATATATACTCATTATATAAACATATAAAAAGTAAACATTCATTGTAAATTTTAATGAGGTTTAACAAGTTACTTTGTAAATAATTGAAGGTTAAATTTTTTATTTAGTATTTTTTTTTTTTTTTTGGAAGGGTAATTGAAGTTTAAAATAGGTATTATATAATTGTAGGGAACTTTTGTTTTTTTATTTCCCTTCCCCCCTCATGGGTGGGCTTCAAAGATCGAGCTGTTGGAAATGTTTTTTTTAATATTTATTTTTATGACAGGAATATTAGATTAAAAATTAATAAATACAAAAGTTTGAAATTGTACTCTCTAAAACAACGAAGAACAACTCAACTACTATGTTAGGAAGGCATTCCTCATTCGAGATGATCAAACTCTTGACATTTGACTCCCTACCAACGCTTTCAACGTCCAGAACTATAATTTATGACATTTCATTTATGGAAAACTTAATACATGAGATGCCTCATACTGACCATTGACTGAATTGCTTATTAGACCCTTCTAATATCCAGTAGTATTAAACATGACATTTATACCAGATTGATTTGGTTCATTTACTTCTCCTTATATAGCATTTCTAAGGGTTCGTTTTCCCCAATTAATATCAAGGTCTTCCACTAGTTCATGACCTTAAGTGTATAATACGCCTAGATATATTGTAAAATTCAAAATACGCCCCACATTGAAATTATGAAAAAATTCCACTATAAAAAATATGATCCCATGACATTTTTGGCTCTAATCTAATCATATTTTATTATTTTATGACTGCAACTTTAAGAGTTAAATAATATTCCATCAATGTCAAGATAAATGTCTACATTTCTATTTTTGACTGTCCAAAAATAAATGTTCTTATTGAAAAGTTAAAGTAATATATTTTGTAATATTATCAATTTAACCTTCTTGCATTGAATTTAGGTTAAGTGGGAAAAATACCCTTAATAGTTAAATTTTGGGCAAATATAGCCTCTAAGGTTTTTTTTTCGGATATATAAGTGCGTTAAGTTTAAAAAAATGATCAAAAAATAGCTTGAGGTCAATGTTTGGCTACAAATTTGGACATGACATTTTTATGATATAAAATTATGAAAATACCATTTTCTCTTTCAATAATACCCTTATATATAGGAATAATACAAAAAAGAAAATAGAAACTATAGTCATTTCACATTTAATTATTCTTTACCTTTTTTTTTATTCAGTTATAGAGGTATACTTTAATATTTTCAGCATTCAGGTCCTTATTTGCTTAAAATTTGAGTGTTAAGAATTTTCAAAACATATAAAAGGTTATACACTTTATATACATATCATATGAATATTTTTCGCTTGCCATCCTTTTACTTATAAAAAGTAAACCATCACATCACTTTCGACCCACTATAGATAAATTTAATAATTCATTCACTTCCAAATAATAAAAAAATACTAAAACTT